CGATTCATTCTTTGCCTTGCCTATAGAGCCTTGTTTTGTTAGGAAGACGGTGTCGAAACAAAATTACATTCCGTTTGGAATATTGTTCATCCTTTTGTTGCTAATGGTGAAGAGGCAACATTATCTATTATTCTTTTCTTCAACGTGCCTTCAAGGAAACGACAGTAATCAGCTTCTCGTTTGAAGGAAATGTACACACGCACATACCACCATTGGTTCATAAATTACCACCATTGGTTCAAGGAAGTTGGTTCATAAAATATGCCAAATTTTGGGCCTTTCTCCATTATAATATACAGAATTTGCTCTAGAATTGCTGATTTTTCTACTGTTCGTTTATTTTTTAGTCTTGAAGGTCAATAGAATGCATGGGTTCTCTGAGTATTCATGGGGACACAAAAGAAGATTATCAGTCGTATATTCGAGCACATCAACATTTAGAAAGGCAGTTTGACTAGTTTTGTACCGTTTCCATTATTCGGATTTGATTTTAGAGAATCTGCATCTTACACTCAGCTCATTTTCAACTGTTACTGTTAACTTTGTCACAACTCCGTTCTCATGCTATGACAGTAATCGTTAAAATACAACGCTTTATGAAGAGAATGAAACTGTAACGATGATTTAAATTCATCATCTAAGACTCTTAAGAATCTCGATGACGTGATGTCTGTCGATTAGAGATTGATCATCATTTGTTTATGTGCTTGTTTTCGTTGACGTCAGTTGCGTAACAAAGATGATAAGGTGTTGTTTTCACACCTTTAAATGCTTTGCTCGCCTATTCGTACAGTCATGCTTGAGAATTTCGATTCGTTCCCTCCACGCCTCATTCATCGACACTCACCAACACCTCCATTTTCGTTCGAAACCTAGACGTCGCCTCATATCTGAGTCGTTGTATCTCAGCTACGATCGCTCGATGAAAGCACGACATTTTTGTGTCGTTCACAACCATTTCATTGACCATAAATACTCAACAACGTCAAGATTGATAAAGCAGGCAAACAGCAGAAAAGTGCAATGTGTAATGTTGAACTAGTTACGCGGAGTAACGACAAGTTGCATTCGTCCGTAGGCCGTAACGGCGTATGTCTGTAAGTGTTTGTGTGTGCGTATCAGTGCATGCATGCATGTATTTATGTATGTATTTATGAATGTATGTATGTATGTATATATGTATGTATATATGTATGAATGTATGTATTTATGCATGTATGTATGTATATATGTATGTATGTATATATGCGTGTATGTATTTATGTATGTATGCATGTATGTATGTATGTATGTATGTATGTATGTATGTATGTATGTGTGTATATATGTATGTATATATGTATGTATGTATGCATGTATGTGTGTATGTATGTATGTATGTATGTATGTATGTATGTATGTATATATGTATGTATGTGTGTATGCATGTATGTATATATGTATGTATGTATGTATGTATGTATGTATGTATGTATGTATGTATGTATGTATGATTGTATGTATGTATGCATGTATGCATGGATGTACGTATGTATGTATATATGTATGTATGTATGTATGTGTGTATGTATTTATGCATGTATGTACGTATGTATGTACGTATGTATTTATGTATCTCTGTATGTGTGAATGTATGCACGTGTGTATGTGTGTATGTATGGCCGTATAGTTATATACATATGCACAACACGTAGTATCATGAAGTGCAGCATCTATGGTCAGAATGATGAAATCGGAAGTGTTGCTAATACAACGATCGTTGAATTCAGTGGTAGTTTTCACAATCGCACCCACCTGTGCCTGCTCCCTCTCACCAGAGCACAATCTTCCGCTTTTAGTTTTGAATGTGTACAACTATTGAGTAGTGGTGTATACATGTATATACCTCTATCCGGTTCAAAAAGGCCGGAAAATTTTAGTGCTAATGACCTGAAAATGCTGTGATTCACTCTTAACTACAGTTAAAGAATCTTTCCATAATAGTTATATACCAGTTAAACGAAAGTCGTGCTCAGATTCGTGTGATTCATCCCTACATTCGTTTGTTTCTGAAGATTCTCAACGTGGTAAGTGTGATCAGCGTAGGTCGATTTGAAACAATATCATGAATGCTTTTCATTTTATCGTAGGATATTTTTATGGACATCTATTAATGTACGTTCATGGTAGTATTCTCCGAGAAAACGTCCAGCATGGTCGGCATCCAGCTGCAGGCGAAACAAACTACAGCGAAGGAAATGGTGTATCGACGATATGAGAGCAGACGACGGGAGGTTGGGCAGTTATGAACAGCGCTCACTCCACACCCGATAGGGAGCGATCAGTTCACTGACAACTCGTAACGTCGCCTAACGGTCTGCCTAACGACGTCGCTCACAACGTACTTTTCAACACTTGACAATCACTCCAGGTTCCACAAAGCTATGATTAAACTCTAGAACTGAACATCTTTATCTGATAGGAGATTTCTCTAAACATGTATCGTTTTCTTAATGGACTTCAGCTACTGTCTATTTTTCGCACATAGCCAGTTTTTACCGTGCTTAGGAAAACGACAAGCTTCCACCTTATATTAGCCAAGTAGTGATTTTTATTAAGTACTTGATCTGAACCCGTTTAGAAATCTACACAGCTCTCTACGGATTGTATTCATTGCGAAATACGGCCGCGTCAAATGACAGACATTAATCGTTTTCAATTCCCACACATCATTTATATCATATTTTTATGAACGTAGGAGTCTAATCAATTATACATTCTTCTACAGAACTTTCTTCTCTTAAGTTTGTAAAAATCTCATTACATATACAGTTAAAAACAGCAAGCGAATGCTTTTTGTTGATACAGGGGGCACAGAGGTTCAGAAAAAACGAATGCATCAAAAATATGACTTTCTGCCTATGTCCATATTCCTGATTTGTTAACCCAAATTCGTATTCGATGGATATAAAAGATAAATTTAAAACAAAAGAAAACAAAGACAGATAGATCGATAGATTGGAGATAGATAGAACACAGATGGTAGTCAAAACCCACATAGAATGAGTGAAAAGCAGCTGAAAGCTGCTAAAGTTTACCGTATTCGATATGACATCAAATTTATTGGAGCATCTGTACCGCAGTGGAGAGATAAAGAGATGCTAACAATACGTATTTTCGTTGTTATTTTGATGCCTTGCTCCATGAAAATCCAACCCTAGTCCTCTCTGGGATCGGTAAATTGGCACTAGATTTGCCTTCAATCACCTCCACGATGCTTCGAATGAAGTGGAATGCATGGCGTCACGAGAGATTAATTTACGCCGAACTCTTTATCATTTCATCCGTTTTATCCGTATGTTGTTTGCTACTATGAAACGACTGTATTAACGTTGGTAAAAATGGTTATGAAATATGCAATAATTGATAAAAATATAAAATGATATGATAAGCAAATTGAATATAATTGAGTGTTGGATAGATGTAGATATGCAAACGGTAACTGGTGAGCTTTCATTCATATTTCATAGCGACTATTCATGTTGAGTTCATAACAGATATACTTGTTATCTCGTTGACGGTAGTCGGTCGTCCTTTGAGCGAACAAACGAACGGACGGGCGACTCATTTCATCACTTCGATGAAATCTGATTCATTTTCTCTTAACAATTCTATAAAAACCTACTCTTTATCAGATTTTTAGCATAATTGCTAATATCACAGTATTCTTCAGTACATTCCACTAGATGTTTGGAGTTTTTTAAGGAGTGGCCAATGCAACACTGCAAAATAATCATGGACAAAATTATAACTATGCTGTTCTGCCACCTTCGAGAAGAGGAGTGTCTTTGACATCAGCCATTCTAGTCGTGAGCGCTCTGCACGTATTTCATCGTCATAATAGGCGACTAGTGATTGCACTGGTTTCTTCTAATTATCTGTAATTTACGTGTTGAATGGTCGGTACCAAAGCAATGCGGTTCTATGATGACGCCGACGACACAGCCGTCAAAGAAGAAATCAGTCTAGTGAGGAAGTTCGATGACATACTGGCTTGCTTCTCTCCGTCAACGTTTTCCTGCTTCAGCTTTCTGCTCACTCTGCTGTTGTTCATATTCGTTGGCTGAAATGATGCAATCTTTTGTTGGCCGCACATTCTCGTATTCGCTTTCCTTAGGCTCACGAAGGTATTAAATATCGCTAGATAGCTAGCTAGCTGTCTAACGCTGCTATTTGTTGCTGCTCTCCCATCATCCCCACCATTCACATCTACCGGTTCCAATTTCTATCGTTTCTCCTTCATTCGCCATTAATTTGTTGTTTATCATATCTTTGTTGATCATTTATATGATAATTGCAATTGTTAAATTACAGGCAGCTTAGAAAGAGTGATCGTCATTAGTTCTCATGGTTTCGATTTACTTGACGTTGCATTCAACATCGGGCTCTCTGTTACTCTTCAGTGATGATTAGACATCAAAAACGAAATGATTAAGTGCATAGAGCGAATTTTCCATTCATGTTGACGTCTGCTTGTTCACGAATTCTCGACACTATACTGAATTTCTACGGATGTTTATAGCCGAAGAACTCCATTGAAAAGCTGATTGTTAGGTGCTCATGAATTCTAGGTAATCTATAACCTAAATGTGCATGTACTTATCTCCGAGTGCGTTGTGGTGGGTCGATTTGTGACTCGTGTGCCATTTATTATCCTCCCCTAACCACCTCTCCGTTTCTGAACCGTCGTTCGCTCTCTCACCGTGGTGTTTGCAGCCTTTGTGTCGCTCTCTCTAGTTCTTTACGCCTCCTACGCTAGTCTCCACCCCACCCCACTTACTAGCGGCGGGCGCTGCACCGCCCAACTGGGCCACCAGTGTCAGTAGTCGGTGGCTGCGCTGTGACGGCGCCCATCACGGGTCTATTGCCTTCTCACTGCTTCGTTCGTGTACATACAGTATTCATCTTCATTCTCGTCATTACATCCCTTTCGTCGTAATCATCATAGTTATTCGATCAGGATGGATCATCCGGCCACATCTGCGCAGTGCATCCAGTTCATTCGACTGTCTTGCACAAAAATTATTGCCGCAAAATCACAGAAAGGTGGAGCTAAACTGCACAGAAATCTTCTCATCATTCATATGGTACGACGAGCGAAGGATTATCAAAACAAGTTAGTGCAGACATGTATTTCATGATGTTTCTATAAGAGGAAAACTTAATGTAACGAGGTAAAATACTGTCGAAAATGAAGGGGGTTTCGAGGTGGAAATATCATTATGAGAATATAGCCATGACGTGAAATTCAGTGGAAAAGTTCTATTACTAGCTTTGCGTCAAAAGGTGAATTTTTTCAACTAAATTTACCAGTACCGATTTAAACTAGTATACAACGATTAATCTAGCAAAATAATATTCGAAAAGATAAGCTACTTCTAACAGAAATGACGACGTTTGCTGCACGTCCTACCGTAATCTCATTCGCTTAACAGAGAACTCATTCTGTAAAATTGCACTCATGTTAGACATAGTTATCGGGGAATGTGCAATTGGCCTGATCAACGAAACCAATTCATCTATGGTCAGGTTGTTAAGGCAATATTCATGGAGATGTGAAGCACTCATCGTCGTTATGTATTAAAAGAAATTATGATCGGTTACAAACATCTTACAAGTATTTTTTAGCCGAAAAAATTACTCTCGTTCTAAATCTTTTTGAAATAACAGTCATTCATTGAGAATAACCTTGAATGTCGATTTGAACCAAACGAGTATAACATTTTTAGAATGTTGTATGTTTGTTCAGATTGGAGGATCTCGAAGCAAGTACTATTGAAACGGACGATGATGCGTATGTGAGTCCACCACTTGAGTTTTCGGTACGTGATTGCGATTCTGAAACGGAGCTATGTGAAGCCGCCGACGAACCGTTAGCGTTCGCATGTGAAGCTACAGAAGACATTGACGATATGGCGAATCGTTGTGATCGTAAGCGTAAAGCTGAATCCCGTACACCACCATATCGTAAGAAGACCGCGTCGGATAGAGCTGTACCGCAATTGCACTCCGCTCTTGTATGCAAATAGTAGTAGCTCTTCATTTATTTTCATTGTCAAATTTTGTCGCTCTGAAGTTTTCTTTGTCGTCATCGTCGTCATCATCACTCATACGACGCGACAGTTGTTGAACTTCCGTTCGTGTATGAACAGAAAAGGGAAAAAACTGCGACAGTACGTGGACGGTTGAACGGGCCGTTAAATCCACCTCACCACTTATTTTCTAGTTATATATAGACCACCCAGATCGTGTGATTACCGCGATTGTCTGTGTCTTTGTTAGTTTCACTGAGTGCTGAGTGTTTGTTCGTGTGTGTGTGTATATATAGGTGTGTGTATGTATGTACGTGTGCATGTGTATGTATGTGTCTATCCGTTTTGTCACTATACAGAGTCGAGTTACTATATATGGTCTGATGTTGTCGTTAACACTTTTCTCTACTTGACATCCATAGTCAGTATATATATGCATATATATGCATATATACATATATATATATATATATATATAAGTTTAGTCGAGACAAGTGTGCTGTTACAAGGTAACCTGAGCTATGTCTAATGCTGCTACTGTTCTTTATGACAGTTCTCTATGCATTTCATTTTGTGCTATGATCCTGTTTTAGCTTCGTTATCGTTTTTTATCTTATTGCCATCACTATTCTTATATCCACGTCTCCCAGTTGATTATGATATCTCAAACCTCAATTAGGGCTGGGTAGCGCCAATGGTTGCGCGCATTTCTCGTTCTCACGTTGTTGTCTGTACGTCACTTATTCATGATGTAATGCGGATAAGATGAAGAGAAAATTATAAAAGTTTTCAAGCAATTCTTCATAGCTTTTTACTGTATATTACGATTACTCATTGTAATATTAGGAAGGATGTTGGCTCTTGTTCCGTATACAACTTTTATACATAAGGTTTCACAAACAAACAAGCAAACACACACACACACGCATACACATACACAGAATGTACCTTGATATGTAAATCTGCAAATGATATTTCATCGTCTGGGATTCTCACCGTGAAATGAATTAATTTACCCTCACGATATTCCTTTCAAACAAAATTCGAATGTTCAGAATAATTTTTACAATGACTAAAAGTCGAGCAATGACAAACATTTATATGACAGAATAAGAGCAAGTCTTTGTATGGAAACATTTGAATGGTATGCCATTAGTATTATTTGTTTCAAAATCGGCTACTTACATCTTAGTTTGACGGAAGTAGAGAATGAAAAACTAGTTGTCCTTGATGTGACAGATTTTTTGTTTACGGTAGTTGAATGTTTTCGTGTGCTATGCGTGCACCCTCCGAAAGGTCTTCCTCTCTCTTATCACTCAACTGATCGGCTCCGCCTGTCTCCCATGCGGTTTTCTTATGTAGATATGGTTGAATGATACCAAACGGAATAAGCTTTCAAATATCAAGTCCTCTGCAAACAGATAGGCGTCATTATGAGTGATGATGAAGTCTCGAGCACAAGGAGGAGTGGAGTCCACAAATGACTATTAAGTTGAATTCAGTAGTAGTTATTTGTAAATATGTCGATAACCACCAGTACTGCCGAAATTGGCGATTGGAAGAGAATCCAGAAGAGTGCAAGCCAGATGTGCAGTGTGCAGTACGCAATCATTAGCCATTGGAAATTAATTGACTATAAGGAAATATAAAAATATAAATATAAATTATCGTCATGAAAATATGAGCTTTGTAACCAATTCAGTTCGGTCTCATCAGACATCACAAGTTTTTGATGTACAACATATTTCGGTATCTTGTGCATTTATGAATCCGTTGCCACCTCAACGTACTAATATCTATTGGCACATGATCAGTTCTGAAGAACAGACCTCATGGAGTACGGAATTACCTCTCTGAATCTGCCACGTGAAGAATTTCAACGGTGAATATGTTTGCATAGTTGTTAATAGTACCAATTCTCTTTGACGGTGTTTCTTGTTTACGTTCTTAGCTTAAGAGTGCTTGTTCTACTTTGTTATTGCTAAGTGCCCACTCAGTAGCAATTCATATACGGAAACTAACGTGAATCAATTTGTCTTTACAGCTCGAAAAGAAATTCGAGTTGTTTCTGTATGGTGAACATTCCTTACAGCTTTGATGTTGAGACATTTGTAAAACTTGGACTACAGGTCAGATTCTCAGGTTATTTCACATCAAACCGTCCTATTAAAAAAATAATAGACACCTCTATGCGACATTCAAGAACAAAGCACAAGGAAAGGGAAACGATAAGCTTTTGTGAGAGACTAACAAGCTTTCCTAACGCTTATTATACTATGGTTTTCCTCAGACTCGGTAATCCTATAAGTGGCCCTCGTATTATTAGTATTAATAACACTAAAACAAGGATTGTTTTTTATGTTAACACAAGATGGATACCACCTTTTTATCAAATATCATGGACTCTAGGAAATTACGCAGGTATTTTGCAGTTTATGCCTTTAATTGACGTCTAAGGCTTTAAATGAGGAGTCATGGCAGAACCATTCAAGGTCGATAACATCCCAGGTCGTTAGGTTACTACACACACATAGTCCCCACCTGGGACCAAAGTGGTACAGGAAAAACCACATAGAGAGAGAGATAGAGAGATAGAGATAGAGTTGCCGTCGCTTTGCGACCAAGTTCAGGCTGTTACGACGATGGCAAGCTTTGACGATCCTTTACAAAACGATAAGCCATGAAGATGGTTTATTCACTAAAGCATATTAATAGCAATAGTGCATAAAAGTATTCGAAGCGTTTACTAGTACTACACTAATGTAGCTGTGAAATTCGTTCTCACTGTATTATTCTGGTTATCTGAAAAGGAAGTGCTTTAGTCGAATGTGTCGAGTTTCATAGATTTGAAATCGTAAACAACTGACTTCTCTAACTGTGACTCTTTAGTAATTCTTTCACTCACATAATTCATAAGTGAATGAATCACTTCATTTTCCGCCTATAGCTATAAGCTCGATACGCAACAAATGACTCGAACTAAGATCAGTCTCTGGAATAAAATTTTTCACTCGTCAATGCTACATGGCTAAGCCGCCTAAGTGGATTTTGCTTTCCCTACAAAAACAAAGAAAAACCACAAGCTTTTCGTATCATAACTGCTTTTAACGACAAGGCAGCTGCAGATAGACATTGCCAGGATACGTACACTTTTCGATAAACGTCTCGACTTATCGTACTTTCATGCTCTGATTTTATTTAACTAACATCCTTCTGAAACTCATATATACACCCTATAAGATTATTTCACAGAGCAGATTGTTCTTCACATCTACAGTAATGACCTTTTTTGTCTACTTTGACGAGTTTAGCGCTATCTTTTCCGTCTTTTTGCTAGTAGGCTAGCTTGCGTAGTTCCATGGTTTCGTGTTTATGTGCAATGTCGATGTCGCTGTCGTTCTCGTTGACGTTGTCGACGTCGATTTCGATGTTGTCGTTATCGCTGTGTATTCATCGGTCCGTGAAACTGAGTAAGCTGAGCTATGTCAGCCACTATGTCGTGCCTCGATTTTCGTTCTGGTCTGTCGTAACATAAAAACATGAGGAAATGGGGTTCTTGCCTCGCCAGTTCTCACGAATAATTGTGATTTGCTCACGAAAAATGTTAGCATATTTGCCGCCCACAGAAAGCAGTTTGTTGTCGAAATAAGACGATGATTTCGTTTTACGCTCTCGCTACATCAGGATAAACACATGCTCAATATTAACTTTCGTTTACTGCTAATATTACTCGCGATTATTTCCAGAGTAAAAGTCACACAAACTCATAACTTTAGTGATTTGCAGTAGGCCATCTTAGAATTTTTATGAGAAGTGCGACGTGGTGACGTGCACAAAGTGAAAAAGAAAGAACGCAGTACCATCCGCTATTGGCTAGTTCTGATATTGTTGATGATGGAAGACGCTTCGGTTGCAAGAAGAAAAAAAAACGGAGGAACTCAATAATCATTCAATAATTCATTGTAAATCATATAAAAATGAAAAGAGATGCTCGTGATACTTTGAACACAACACTTCCCATTATTAATGACAAAAATCTTTTCGCCCCTGAATTTTCACCAAAAATGGTGTCCATTCATTAAGCTGTTATCAACTCAGCTTCTTATTTAACGTACTGTAGTAAATATAAAGTAAATAAATCACTGCTTGAGAATTTGAATTATTGAAATCTAAACCGAATAAGAAATAAGAAGAGAATCTGAACAGTTGACGGCCTTTTAAGAGGAAAAAATCCGCAGTTGTAGTTGGCTCCGATCTCTGATCATAAACGTGCTTACGTTTCGTGAACATTCGCAGCAAAACTGAATATCTCGAGGGATTGCTGCCTGTTCACATATTTTAAAACATCGGTCAAGCTAATGCTCTAAAAGGTAACATGTAGACAGTGGACAGGTACAAATTATTACAACAATTCATGTCTACTGAAAAGATTCGACCTCGGGTTCGATTGCTGAACAAACGACTATTTTAACGATGCGACATTCATAAAACGAATGAGAGGCTGACGAAACAGATGTTTTTGAGTACGCAATTAAGTACTGTTCATTTAGTACGCCTTTGCAGAAAAAAGAATCACTGAACAAATCATCGTTGCTTCATTGATTTCTCCGTACAGTGCTAATAAACTCACTGTTTGACCGCATGTTTTCCTAGTGTCACCCATTCATACTATTTGCCTCAGATGTTCGAGGAATAGTTTCCACCATCTTTCTCCATATTTCAACCCATATTAATTTTTTTTTGGATTGCAGAGCATTCTTGTCTCCTTTCGGACAAGTTTTGGTTAGGTCCATATTCTGTTATCAAAAAACACCGTAGCGATTTTGACTGCCGTAAGGCGTACCGAGATCTTATCTTATCGCTGAACGTTACAGCTCAATACTGAACTGTATATTGCGCGAAATTTTCAACCGATAGTCATTACTCAGTTAGCAAGTACAGTTTCAAAAGCAATTTTAGTTTGCTGTGTGCGTGGGGAGGTTTGACGGTGAGGTGAA